TTCTTCAGTACTTAAAGGCAAGATTCGGGATAAAATAGGTGTGGAAAAGCGTTCAGTTATGAAGCTAGAGGTGGGGAGTGGTCTGTAAAAGAAGAAGGAAAGCAAGAGAAACCCCCGATTACGCCCCGAATAAGGACCTCCCCTATTTCAGCCGCATTCCACCTTGGGATAGAGAAGGGCGTGTTGGACGAGTTTCACGAACCTAACTCTACTTGCTCCAGTGCCAATGACATTGGATCGCGCTGGGACCGCTGCCTCAAATGCGCCCGCGCTTTTCAAGCAGCGCCACGTGGCAACCGACAGCGGAGGGTGGGGCTTGCGGACGAAGGTGTGAGTTGCGGGTTGGACGAGCTCCTTGCGCCTTTGTCGCGCACTTTCAAGCCGCAAAAGGGGCGCGACATCAACGCTTGTCCGCCTGTCTACTACGCTCGGGAATGGAACAGGTGAGCTTGCCTAATCCCTGAGTGTGACTTTGAGGAGGACTGGCTCTTGCCACCTAATAGCTACCCGTGGCTTTAATTGTCCGCACATCGACTAACAATGAGCACTCTTCATGTTTATTTGTTGGGAGGACCACCAACTTAACCTATTCACGATCAGGCAATTGTCAAATAGAAGCCACGGTGACTTACACAGTCCCTGGCGTTATCGGAATGGTGTAGCGGCAACCGAATTGCTTCTCACCGACACTTATCCTGAAGAGGTAAGTGATCATCCTGATTACAGGCATTTCGCCTCGGATATGTTATTTATATCTCGGCGTTTTCACAAAACTAGCTAGCACAAGACTGAAGCGAGGGTCAATGCTACACATTTGCGATAAAAACTTCAATTCTCAACTATAAAAGCAATTTATCTCTTTTCGGACACTTCTAGATATGTGCTGCCTACATTTGGATTTATAGAATTGTTTCTTAAATAAAGTTCAAGTGGCAGAAGCTATCCTCTAGTCAAACTAGTACTCTACTCGTCCAGGCACCAACCAAAAATTGCACAAAGACAATTTTTCAATAAACGTGAACAGAATTAAAATGGGATTCCTTCGGAGGGTGGCGGACTCTTCAGACGCGTTACATTTTGGGTGAGTCCATTCCAAGTGGCGCTTTACAAGTAGGCATTTTCTGTGGTGGCGTACATTTCCAATTCGATGTCGTGTTATGAATCGTGAAGCGAGTACAAGTGTCCATAGTGCGCTCTGTGTACTACGTGATAACGATTCAGCCACTGGGGGTAGGAATCCGCTGTCTTTGTAAA